GCATTGAATGGTGTATGTAAGGCATAACCAAGAATATGTGGACAAGTTCTGATTTGCTGAAAAGGAAACAGGGTGAAATAGCTAATTTTGCTTTGAGCAAATTTCTGTCTCAATCAGAATCAAAACAATGAATGCTATTCTTTCCTGCGTAATAGAGTTTAAATATATATTTGATCCAAACCTATTCATTATTTTCTTTAGAATTCCTATTCATTTTTTTCTTTAGAATTCCTTTTAACATTCTTGTCTTCCTTTTCATCCCCACCACAAACATTCAAACCTCCATCAGCAGAAAAGTGAATTCATGTACTGCCTTTCTGTCTGATTTTCAAGTTTTTGTTCTCATTGTATTTCAGTCCATCCAAGAATAGTAGTAGTAATACTTGTAGTCAAAGTACCATTAATAAAATAACAGCTAGAACAAAGGAATACTGGTAAAGCAATACCCCCCCCCATCCCAAGGATATGTAAGGCCAACCCTGACCACCCCGTTGGTCCAGGGAGGAAGTCCATGACTCTCAAACTTACTTGAGAGAATAAATTTCCATTGTTTTTAGTCTTCCAGTTTGCAGTTCACGAAGAAGCCCCAGCAAACCAATACACTTTGCACAGCATTCAGGGCCTTTGGGTCTCACTCTTGAGAACCTGGCTAGTCTTATCTCCTGTCACCACTTCCTGCTCATTGATCTTTCTATCAAAAATATGTATGGAGCTCAGGTTCTGTGTCAAATCCCAGGGATGCAGCAGTGTCTGCCCTGCAGAAGCTCACAGGCTGGGGGAGAGGGTAGGCCCCCACAGCCATCGCTGTGCAATGTGCCCAGTGCTTGGCAAGCTCTACGTGCGAGCACCACCAGCTTCTGTGCCTCATGGCACAAGCTTCTGCTCTGCAAAGAATGCCCCTTTGCATGTAGGAATCCTCCTCTGCTCATTTCTCCTGCCCAGAATCACTCCCCACTGTCCAACTTCTATGCTTTGTAGTGGTGGACACGCTTCCCTTAGTGCCTCCATCACATGTCATTGTAATTATTTATTTGTTGGCCTGCCTGCAGATGGTGAGCTACTTTGAGGGCATGGACTATGGTCTTTTATATTATTCCTCTTTGTGTCTGTAGAACATGGTAGTTTCTCTAAAAGAGAATGTTGGACTCACTGAGGCTGGAGAGGGGCTCCCTACCTCTCTGCTGCTTGTTCAGGCTCTGTCCAGGGAGGGAGGTAGGAGAGGGCAGCCTGGGGTGGGTGGGAGGAACAGAAGGGGCACAGTTCTCGGGGTTGCATTCTGTGCAAGAGGCCTGGGGAGGGGGCATGTGGCTGTAGGCTTTAAACACTATCATCTTGCATCTCTGTAGGCTGAGCAGTGGGGGTGCTGCCTAGTAAAAGCTGGGGCACAGCTCTGGTTTGGGTCCATGCGAGGCTTTTGGCCCAATAGTGGCTCTCCCATTTAAATGAACTTCAGAATCACCTGGAGGAATAATGAAGGCAGTTTCTGGGTCCTACCCCCAGAGTTTCTGGTTCAGTAGATCTGGGGTGGAGTTGAATAATTTTCATTCCTAACAAAATTTTGGGTTACACCAATGATGCTGGTCTGAGGCCTATATCTGGGAACCACAATACAAGATTATCTGACATTAGACCCATGGTTCTCAACTTTGGAGACATTAGAACAACCTGGAGAGTTTTAAATTCAGATGCTAGGAACTTACCCACCCAATGTGACTGGTTATAGAGATTTAGAATGCAGCTGGGCAAAGCATTGGTTTAATTAAGACTCATTTAGGAGGGCCTCCCTGGTGGTGCAAGGGGTTAAGTCTCAGCACTATGAAGCAATCCACAGCCTCTGCAGCACGAGTTCAATCCCCGACCAGGGAGCTACCCACGTGGCACAGCAGATCTCTCCTGTTTTGCCCGCTGCTCCCCTCAGCAGTGTATTCAGTCAGTCTGCCTGTTCTGCTCCACACTCTGTCTCTGGTGAAGCCTCTCACCCTCTCCACCCAGCATCTCTGGCCCACACCCCAGTTCTTATATGCATTAATACCCGCTTTTAGCAGGTGTGACACTTTATTGAACCAAAGTAAAAAAACTTCTAACTAAATCCAAATCCATGCTTCGTTTCTTATCAACCTTGGACAAATTAGCTGACTCCTCTTTGCTTTATTTTCCCCATATTTAATAGGGGGGATAATAATAGTATATCCCTCATAGAATTGTTGTGAGGACGAAATATATTTGGGATTCTTAGTAGAATCCCGAGGCCCCCTTTAAACCTCTAGCTGTGCTGATGATGAACCCTGGGAGGAAGAGCAGAGCAGCCAAGATTCCATTCCCTGCAGGAAGTGGCCACAGGCGCCTATGGATTTGGTTCTTGTGTCTTTTTTTTTTTCAGTTTACGTTTTTCCTGTTAGTATATTTGTCCTTGGCAACCTTTCCCTCCACTTCCTTAAAAATGATTTATCTACTATAGATAAGAAACCCCCAAAGCCCAGACTGTATAATGTGTCTACAATGTAGCTAAACTTTGAATGGGAGACTTGTCTTTCAAAGTAGAAGGTAAGCTTTGCGCTAACCCTCTTTGTTCTCTCTTATGCTCCAGGGGTATTCTGAAGGACTAGCTTTTTAGGAGGAAGGATTTCCTGATTAGAGACTGCATGGTCTAGCAGAAACAAGGGGTTTGGGGTTCACCAAGGTTCTTTGGGTTTGGGGATCATAGTTGAATGCACACTCCTGGTTCAAACCAGACTTAACGTTTATCCCAAATTCCCAGGCATTTTTTCTATCTGCCTCCACTGCTTCATTTTCTCAGGATTCTAACCCTCTTCCTACCTGTCAAGTAGCTTCTAAATGGTCCCAATCCAACTCATCTGAGCTCACCTGCTACAGGTCTAAAACTGTGCTCCATTTTAGACAATTATTACATTGGCTAAATATTGGCACAAGCAAGTTGTAAACATGGGAGTTCACAAACACCATGGCTGGGCACTGAGCAGATGTCCTAACATTTATAGGTCAGTTTTCATTTATGGGCATTCACTTTGACAACTACTTCGATGAGCAATGCGCTGAACTGTCCTGTATGGAGAGATGGGTTCCAGGTCACGTTTCTTAAACTGCTGGGCAGTCATGTCACCTAAGGAACATCTACAAATGCCAGTGCTCAGGTCAATCAATTCAGACTCTTTGAGAGCAAGGTTAGGGTATTGGTGGGTTTAGAACTCATCAGGTGCTTCCAATGTGGAGCCAAGCTGGAGGGTTTGTCCTCAGTTCAGCGATTCCTTAATTCAAAATCACTTGAGGATCTTGTTACAGTGCAGATCCTGGGTGGACCCAAGACTGTGCTTTTCTAATAAGCACTCAGGCAACTTGGATGCTTCCAGCAGCCCAGGCATCGTGTGCTGAGTAGCAAAGCTGTCTGGGCCCGTTTCATGTCTTGAAAGTGCCTTTCTACTCCATCAGTCTTGGAAATGATGTCCCAGAATTCACCAGTCCTCTTGAGTTTGTGATTGTTATTTCCCCCTATACCCACGGCTCTTCTAAATCTTGCTCCCTTCCTAGTGCCCTGCCCATACCTTACAGCCACCCTCTTATGGCAAAGTTATCTTAACATTTATCTCAATTCTCTATTTTCCTCTAGATAGTGATTCTCTTGAAAACACAATAGAAGAGTCACTAAGCTAAACTGTAAGCAGATATTTCTGTGATCTTATTTTTCTGTCTGCACAGAAAGTGCATTGTGCTCCACGGATGTGCCCTCCAGGCTAAGCAAACACTGAGTACTGTGTGATTTAGCAAATGATAATAATCCAGTATCTGAGTTATGCTCTACTTAGGCACTCACAAACATGAGGCCTTCCATTCAAAAAAAAAAAAAAAAAAAAAGGTTAAGCAACGACATAAGGTTTGGGGAAAGCAAAAAAGTAATTTTCAGTTTTTAAAATTACTTAGTATTCCATATCATAGTACTTTGGAAAATGTAATTTCCTGGTCAATATTGACTTTAGAAGTGTTTGTCAAAGAGTTACTTGTGGACCCTGGTCAATGAACATGTTCTGGGAGATCCAAAACTCTTTCAGAAGAATTTTTAAATAGTATATTTGATGCTGTGAAAAACTTAAACATTAAGTTAAGGCAGTTTGTGGATCCTTAAATGATCAAGGACTAGCACATGATTTCAATGCCTTCATTTGTATTGCTATTTATGGTTGTCTGCATACCTAGTAGATATGCTCTCATTGTCCTGGACTAGTGCTAAAAGGACAGAGAACCAAGGCAAGTTTACTATAAAAATCATGCAGCTGAGGCCAGAGAAGATCCAACTGTATTACAGGGAGTCTTGGAAACAAAGCTTTCTCAGTAGATTAGACACATGACTGGAGGACTAAGTCACATACCACATCACAGTTTAGATATGCTGCAACTTGAAAGAAACTTCATTATGGCCAGCAGAGGCATCTTTACATTGAACACAGCCATTTAATCTCTGAAAAATAACATTGTCTGTGACACTCTATCAGTCACAAACCTTTGCACATCACCAACTTGTATTTTACTCCATTTAAGCTATAAATTTGTTTCAGTTGTGTTGTTTCAAAACTACGAATTCTGCAAATTCAAGTCACGATCTCATGCAAATAACTGAGATCCTGGGGAGACAATGTTTGCTCTTTAAAAAGAGTCTGCATTTCCTTATTTGGAATTGCACATGCAATTCTGTCGCTATTTTTGAAAATGTCATAGCATGGCATCAGGCTCAACATTCGAAGGCACTGTGAAGGGGACACTATTGGGGACATAAGATGAGTCCCCAGGCCAAATTTTATATCAGTTGTAAATAGCACAACAAACAAGTTTCCAGGGAATATTTTGCCTGTTTGGAAGCAATGCCCAGTGAGGACACTTTCAAAGGCAGGGTGGTCGAGGGTGCAATATGACAAGCCATTGGTTAATAATGCAGGCCCACAGGAGAGCCTGCTGGTACCTATGATTTGGAGGGAAAATAAAGTGCTTACAGGCTGTTGGGTCCCTGGCTCTCCACTCCCTGCCAGGTGGTTGAGAGGCTGCACGGCTGCTGAGGGTTGGGTGTTCCCCTTGGGCAGCTGTTGACTGCCTTCTGAGAGGCAATAAGACTGGCTCTGAGGAGTCAAAACAGAAATACATAAAAGAGGAAATGCAAATGGCCAACAGGCATATGAAAAACTGTTCAACATCACTTGTAATCAGGGAAATGCAAATCAAAACTACCATGAGATACCATCTTACACCAGTGAGAATGGCACATATTAAAAAAACTAGCAACAACAAATGTTGGCGAGGGTGTGGAGAAAAAGGAACTCTCCTGCACTGCTGGTGGGAGTGCAAACTGGTCCAACCACTATGGAGAGCTGTGTGGAGATTTCTTGACCTACTAAACATAGAGCTTCCATATGATCCAGCAATTTCACTCCTAGGTATTTACCCAAAGGACACAGAAACATCCATTCCAAAGAGCACCTGCACCCCTATGTTTATAGCAGCACTGTTTACAATAGCTAAGCTTTGGAAACAACCCAAATGCCCAAAAATAGATGACTGGATCAAGAAGATGTGGTACATATACACCATGGAATATTACTCAGCATTCAAAAAAGATAAACACATGCAATTTGCAGCAACATGGATGGCGCTGGAAGGGATCATGCTCAGCGAAATAAGCCAGAAAGAAAAAGGAAAATACCGGATGGTCTCACTCACAGCAGGAATCTAGAAAACTTAAATAAGGGACCAGGAAAATGAATAACTTTAAGAAAGTGAAAATCAAAATCAACAAAAAACTATGAACCAGAGACACTCTATGGGGGGTAGAGGGCGGGAGGGGAGGGATTGGGGTCAAAATAAGGGGATTGCAATTGTATGGGGCATATAAAAATAAAATTTATTTTAAAATAAATAAATTAATTAAAAAAAAGAAGAGCATTAAGGAAATCTAACAACAACAAAAAAATGTGATACCATTTACAATGGCCAGCTGCTTGTGGGCTTGACTTTCAAGGGATAAAAAAAGCGTCCTTCCTTAGCAACTAGTGTGGGGGTCTGTAAAGGGCAGGAATGATCACTGAGCAGGTTTTCTATGATCCAGCAGACCGGGTAAAGGAGGAATAAGAGTCCTCAGTGGTTTTTCCAGGGTTTTTATTGGGATTACCAGGTACACGGCAGGCAGGGGCGCTGGGGGGCCGGGAGGCTGGCAGGCCTCCCAGCCCCCAGTATGTCTTCACTCTTTCTGGGCTCTCCGGCCTTCTCTCTGCTTCTCTGCTCTTGGCTTCTCTTTTAGCTTCTGCTGGCGTCCCCGAGACGCCGCCCTTAAAAGCCCAGTCTCAGCCCAGATGAATCCCATCTACCTATGCCCACACCCTACTCCAGGCGCCCGCCATCAGGCATGCATTCAGGACCGCAGGGATCCATCATCTATCCTGATGGCGGGAGGGCAGAAAAGCCTGACATTTTTCCTTACCCTGCAGGGTCACTGGTTATTCCTGGGATCCTCTGCCTCTGTCAGAAGCATCTTAAAGCATCTTAAGTTTGTGTTTCTCTGAAAGATTTACTGAAGGGGAGTCTCTTCATCATGACTCACTTGTTATTCACAGGTCATTTTTAAAACCATGCTTCATAGGGAAGCTGTTTGTAGATTTGTGAATATCCGAGTGTGAGTTAAACTTATAGCAAACGGGAAAAAGAAACCCGATCAACAAAGTTTACTGAAAATTTTGGAGTGTTACTATCTTGGCTCCCGGTGTACACACCACGAATCACCCTTTCCTCGGAAACAACAGCAGGTGTAGCAAAACCTTCTTAAAATTCATATTGTCAAGCTGTACATACTCATCAAGGTAAAAACCAAGACTCAGCTGAGACCTGCCTTGTGCATGGCTCATTCTACCTGGTGGTGTTTTCGTCTGATTCAATCATGAATGGTTTATAGACACGCTATTCACGTGAGGCTAGCCATTTCAGAAGAAAGGCAAAATATCAATTCCATGGATATTTGCAAACACCTAGGTGTTCCATGGTGTTTAGAAATAACTAAAATATTTCCCCTTTCAATCCAAACTACTTTTCTTTTTTTAACTTTGATCTACTCATATATTTCAATGTGAACCTCTTTTCCAAACAAAACTCAGAAGTCTGTGAAGTTTTGTGCAACTTTGCTACAAACTAGCTGCCTTAGCCACATTCTGCAGATACATTCCAACCGTTTTCTCTCTACAAGGAACCATTTACCAAATTGTATAAAACATTTCTCTTTAGCCCTTCTTAAGAGATTTTTGACTAACAGACCAAAAATATATTCCAAATACATTTTAAAAGCCAGTTATAGCAAAACCAACCCTGAAGGGTAATCACAATGATAAAATTTAACAGTATCAGTCATGATTTCCTAGTTTAAATTTCTTTGCATGCTGGCCCAAATTAAGAATTTGTTGGATTCCAAAAGGCAATAGATACTTACATGGTGATTGCCCATTTTCGTTTTTCTGAGATAGCTGCTCGCACTTCATTAAGGGATCAGTTCTCTGACAGGGCAGTTTATAATGGTTTTCCCAGGACATAATATCTCTTGAGTTTAATAAGTAACTTTTGGCATTGAATTTGAATACATTGTTGGGATGGGTAGGGAGTGGCGATGGCTACAAATTAGCTTAAACTACCCCCAGCTGCCTGGGAAACCATCTTTTTAAAATACAATATTTATTAATAGATCAAGTGTAGACTTTTGAAGTTGAACAACTTACTTACAATGAAAGGGCTAACCTTGTCTCAGCCCTGAATTATTGAGAGTTATTCTCATGGGTGTTTGTTTAACGTTTTATAGCTGGTAACAATAAAAACATGAATAAGAATGGAAAATTTACTGTTTTACTAACATCACTATTATTATCACAGAGAATCTCTTGAAGGCCACATTGAGTTATGCTAACATTATTCTTGATCTAGCTAGTTTTTAAATTATGAAATATGTGCAGATGATGCATTAAAAAATATGAAAAGATACCATGAAAAGTAAGCCTACTAACCTCCTAGTTGTTCCCCCTGTAGATTTCTTGTAAGTTCTTCCAGAAATGGAAGACAAAATGGTAGCCATGAACAACTATGTCTGCCTGTCTATGTATGTATGTATGTATGTACCATCTATCTATGTATCTATCTATGTATCTATGTATCTATCTATCTATCTATCTATCTATCTATCTATTGCTGGCCTTTATTATTATTATTATTTTCATGAACAAATGAATTTGTATAGTACATTCTGTTCCTGTACCTGTGTACTTCATATGCTAGAGAAATAGATGACCTTGGCACATGTTAATCAGTTGTGGGAATGAACTAAACCTTACTTTTGTCAGTCCACCTATTGATGGGGTTTTTTTTTGCATAAATATCTTCACTTTATGTACCTTTGCATATATGTGTGTGTATTTATCTGTAGAGTAAAATTTTAGAATGGCATTTCTGGTCAAAGATTACATACATTTAAAATTCCAATACATGTTGCCAATTTGTCCTCTGCAGAGACATAAAACTGCTCAACTACTATCAAAGATCAGTTGAACCTATGAGCCAACCATGAGCCAACCCACAAGCCAACCCATGAGCCAAGGTAAAATATAGTTGACGCTCAACCTCATGAACCCATGAGCCAACCCATGAGCCAAGGTAAAATATAGTTGACGCTCAAACAAGAGGGGACGTGGCTGGTGCTTAGGGGTGCTGACCCCTGTGCAGTAGAAAACTTGGGTAAAACTTCTGACTCTCCCAAAACTTAACTGCAGTCCTTGATGTCAATGGGGGTTTGGTTTCTGGACCACTAAGTGTACTGAAATCCATGGATGCTCGAGTCCCTTATAAACAGTCTCCTCACATTCATGACTGGTTGAATCTGGAAAAGTCAAACCTGTGGGTTGAAAAAAAAAGTCACATTTAAGTGGAGCCCCACATTCAAATCATGTTGTTCAAGGGTCAACCATATATAATCCCAATAAGATGATCTGCCAGTGCTCATTTCCCTACTTACTGGTCAATACTAAACCTTATTAAACTTTTTCATTTCTGTGAATTTCAAAGATGAAAAATAGTTATCTCACAGTTTAACTACACTACTTTCTTTTCGTATTTGTCAAATCATGTCTCCCATTCTTTAAATGTCAATTGTATACATTTTCCTGTGGTCTTTTTTATGTTCTTTATTTTTAGTTTGAGTTATTATTTGTCTCTTGTTATTTATTTGTAGCAACATAATATAATCTAGGTCTTTGTCAAGTATAATGATGACTTTCCTTTTTTAAAATATTTTATTTTATATTATTCTTACATCATTTTTCATTTTTGCACAATGTATGCATTTTCATTTTGGTTATATTCCCCATACAATTGCACCCCCTTATTTTGACCCTAATCCTTTCTTTTTTTTTGTCTTTTTACTATGATTTCATTTTGAGTAAGTATATGAAGAGGTTTTTGTTTTGTGACTTTGAATATATCAATCTTTTCTCCTTTGGCTTGCTTAGAAAAACATTTCTGTATTAAGATGGTTAAAACTTCTTTTACATTTTCTTCAAGTTCTTTTAATGGTGTCTTTTTTAAGGTCTACATCTTTGCCACATTCAAGTTGATTTTTATATAGCGAAAGGAAGGATGAATTTGTCTTTAATTTTGGTTTTTCAATTGACTCTAGGTAGTTACTACATAATTCACCTTTCCCTTCTCATCTAAGATGTGATCTTTTTTATGTTTAAATGTCACATAGCTTAGTGGTAAAATTCTGATAAGTTTATTAAATTCTGATCATCTGTTTTCACTCTATTTTTCTTTTTATTTTTATCTATTGAATGCTTTGTTGGGCTAGTTGCTTAGGCTACCACATTTCACAAGCTGAATATAAAATTTCTCCTCCAAGATGTTACCATCAAGTAAAGGAGCTATAAGAGAAATAATTACAAATAGTGTGTTGGCTATGAATAAAATAAGCAAGATGCTATAATGGAGGCCAACATGGTGTGTGTGTGTGTGTGTGTGTGTGTGTGTGTGTAATTTACTTTATATAGATAAAGCTCTTCAAGGAGCTAAACATTAAGCTGTGAGCCAAAGGATAAGAAGGAACCCATCATTGGTGAGAACTTGTTCTAGACCAGATGTTCTTAGTTTATGATAAGATTCAAAAATAAGAAAGAGATTTGCAAACTAGAGGAGATGGTCAGAGACAGGAGTCTGTTGTGTGCCAGGCAAGCGCTGGGCACTGGGGTTACAGTGGTGAGCAGATAAAACTCTGCTCCAGGAGCTGACAGTGACAAATAGGGGCAAGACAGTTAGTTAACGACGAACACTTTGATCATTCACCATTACTTTTTAGTGCTCTAGAGGCCACTGCCTTTATTCTCAGGGCCAAATCCTCCCTGGCTCACCTCTGCTTTACAATTTCTGCGTCACTGACCATCCCCCACCCAGAGAGCTTCATTTGTGATGTCTCTCTCTCCTCCGCCCTTTCCTGCCCCAGGTTGTTGAAGCTCAAAGTTCAAGAGGAACAGGCCATTTTGATGGAGATATGTTCTGGCGAAGGTGCCATGTTACTGATAGGCATAGTTAAAGATGAAATATAGTTTATGGCTCAGAATGTGAAAGATAGAAAGCTTGGTGACTAAGTAAGAAGCTGACACACCTTTTTATTTTTCTAGGTCAAGACCACCATAGCCACCTCTTGACTATTTAATTTACTCATAGGCAAGTTTGGATTTGGCCAAAACAAAACAATTCCCAGTGTCATTTCCCCCTTGTCTCCTTCTGCAACTGGATAGGTAGTGGAGAGTAGCTGGGATCATTCAAGTAAGAGTAGCTTGAGGACAGGAAAGGGAATTCCTGGGACCACGTGCCATTTCTGGGAGGAAATCTTGGTTGGAGACCCAGAGGGTCTGAGAGGGGAGAAGAAGAACTTCCTGGCAAAGAAGAGAGGGAAGACATGATGGGGGGAAGTAGGCACAAGCAGAAAGATGGGAGGGTTTGTTTTTTTGTGTGTCATATACATGTCTAATGATTCTAAATTATTACAGTAGCTGCCTAGTATCTTCCTGTGCTTGACTGAACCTATTCCTTTACATTCTTGCATGTTGGTGGTTCTCAAAGTAGTGATGCCAGGCAAGTCCAAACCTCCTTCTATCGTTGTGAGTCTCAATAGCAAGTATATATGAATCTCACCCTTTTTATTGCCCACCATGGTTAAATTTTAACTCTTCTCCAAAAAAGTTATTTATACATCAGCTAGGGGTTAGAGCGTACCCCCAAATACATGTTGAGGTCCTAACCCTTAGTACCTGTGACTGTGACTTTATTAGGAAATAGGACCTTTGCAGACATAGCCAAGTGAAGATGAGGCCATTAGGGTGGATCTGAACTTCTTAAAACTGGTGCCTTTGTTAGAAAAGGAAAATGCCATGTCAGGACAGACAAGCAAGGACAAGATCATATGGTGAGAGAAACAGAGATTCGAGTCATTCAGCTGCAAACCAAGCATCACCAAGGACTAATGTCCACCACTAAATCCAGTAAGATCCCAAGAAGAGTTCTCCCTTCCAGGTTTTAGAGGAAGAATGGTCCCACCAACACTTGATTTTGGGCTTAAAACTTCCAAAATTGTGAGACAATAAATTTCAGTTGTATCCAATTTGTGGTACTTTGTTATAGCAGCTCTGGGATACTAATAGAACATCCAAAAAAAAAAAAATCATCAGTTGCTATGAATCTCACAGCAAATGCATTATGCTGTATAATTTGCATTTAATATAATTTTTACTTAGAAATGCTTTGGGAGTGGGCCTCCCCTGGTGGCGCAGTGGTTGAGCGCTGGGTTGCGAGGCTGCCCGCAGCCTCTGCAGCGCCGGTTCAATCCCCAGCCACTGGCGAGGGTGCCCCCCCCCCCAAAAAAAAAGAAAAGAAATGCTTTGGGATAATCTCCATGATCATCCTTGTAAGGATCTTTCCATCTTAAGGCTACTTTGATTCTAAGATTCCACGTGGAACAGGTCATTTGGCCCTTGCTTATTAAAGCTCATTAACATTGATGAAATACATTTCATTGTTCCAAAAATTTGCCTAAGTTCAGCCTTGCCTGCGTTCATGTGCAAAAGAATCATTTTATTTCTGATGTTTCGTGTCGCGATGCTGGGTGGCACAGCGTCCGTAGCAAGATGTGAGTTTCCCATTTATAGACTATTACTTTTACAGCCTCTTAAAGCCTGTGCTTTGTTATGAATAAAATTTTACTTTACAAGGATACATGCTGACTAAGATGCCTGAGATAAGTGTCCCTGGTCTTTTGAACTCCCCCACATTTTGGCTCTATGTTACTGTCTGACTTTAAGACCTGAACTTTTATAAAGAAGGTACATGTTGAAAGTTATTTGTTCTGAGGTCCTTGGCTCTCTCCAGAACACAACATGTGTGGGCTCCCCCTCAGGAGTCTGATTAAGCTTTATTTGATGCTCTGCACCTGGTAAAGGTAGACCAGGGAATGCAGTTCCAGAAAAATCTTTTTA